AGCTGGGCGGTGGTGGCGCACGCCTTTAATCCCAGCACTCGGGAGGCAGAGCCAGGCGGATCTCTGTGAGTTCAAGGCCAGCCTGGGCTACCAAGTGAGTGTGGTCGGCTCCAATAACTATTCACATCCAGTTGTGATTTTCTCTAGCCCTGTGTCTTATGATTTTATGATGTAGCTGTGCTCAGCCTGAACATAGCTTTCCCTTCCTGGGCCAGCAGAGTCACAGCATTTTCTGTCCCGTCTCACTTGTTTGTAATTCTGGTAACCATTAATGCTTGTTAAACCTGCAGTCAAGAGAACCACACGACTTTTGCATTGTTTTGATTTTAGACCGAGAATTTTGATAAGTTCACTCGACTAAGGAAACAGTTGTCTTGGGGCTGGAGAGATGGCTCAGTAGTTAAGAGCGCGTACTCTACTGCTCTTGCAGGAGGACCTACACTCTGTTCCCATCCCCCACGTCAGGTGACTCACAGTTGCCTCTAACTCGAGCTCCAAGGGGATAGAGAGAAGTCTCTGACCTCCACGGGCACCAGCAGTCATGTATGCGGACACACACATACACACAATTAAAAATAATAAATCACGTTTAAAAAGAAGAGAAATTAGTCGATCCAACATTTTAACCCGAGCCTGTCCTTTGAGATATTGCTTTGTGTTGTGAGATTATTCATAAATGTTGACTCTTATTAATACTGTGAAGTGCTGAGCCTCCTTCCCGCAGACCTCACCCCTGTTGTTCTCATTGATGTGTTCAGTTATGGGGTGTATTTCAGTGTCTTTATTCACCTTAAAGCTGTTACACTGAGGTAGGAGTGGTGACTCACACCCCTCATACCAGCATTCAGGATGATGAGGCAGGAGGATTGGACATGGAGACCAGCCTGTCTATACAGTAACAATCTCCGGTAAACAACCCAGCAAACCCTATCACGTGATGTGCCTTCAAAGAATTTCTGAAGTTTGAGCAGCAGTGGGATATGGAATAAGAAAAATGTTAGCAGACTCTGACAGCCTCACATACGAAGATGAGCGCAGCCAACGTCTGTGAGGGACTATTGATCTCCAGAGCGCTCATTATTCCCCCAGATCTCCCAGTTTCTCTCTCTTAGGTTATCTGTGCTATTCGGCCATTGTGATGGGGAAAAAATACTATAGAACAATAGATAGTCTTCCGAGTCATTCAGTTACTTTGAAAATACAGTAGAGGATACTTTAAGTAGCTAGCGCAGTGTTGAGCTTTCAAAAGTACTATCTATTTTCCCAGGAGAAAGCAATCATCATGCCTGTTAACCCCATCAGCAGATACTTTGAGGCCTTGTATGACTTAGCTTTTCACATCACTGTGACAGCCTCTTGGTAGACTGGTGAAAGGGAGGAGGCTTTATTCTGGAATACAATTCGGGGTCATATCGAATGGAGTCTTCAGCAATCAGATTGGATCCTGAATAATCACATGGAAGTTGTATAAAACTATGAAACAGAAGGACACGTCAGCAACTTTAGTGACATCATCATGGATACCTTCACCAGGACACTCCCGGCCCGAGCTTTCGGCTAGACTGTAAGGAATGGCCATAGCAGGATCCCAGCAGCCAGAGCCCATGTGAGGGCAGGGCACAGAGAGGCGATGTTGCCGATCTGTGTCTAGGTAAGAGCTGGGCGTGGTAGCTGTGTGTTTGTATAGGCTTGATGCTGTTACACACCTTTTGACTCCAAATAGTTGACGCATCCTGTTTGCCGTCTTCTCCGAGGTTGGACGGGACTTAGAATAGACGGCTACTCATTGGCTTGGTGAGTAAAGTCAGTGGCTGGTGAGACAGGCACGGAGTGAACAGAGAAGCCAGGGACTGTGCCCAGGACACCAGAGAAAGCAAGATGAGACACTAAGTTCCCTGAGTCTTCAACCAGACTCCGGGACTTCCTAGAGAGTCGACGAAACTGGAGAGATGTTCGTCCAACAAAAGTGACCTCACTGAGCACAACCAAACAATCGTGGGACCAGATTTGGCCTCAGCATGGACAATGTGTGATTCAGTGAGTGACCTTAGCCTGAATTGACTCGGCCAGCCTCTTCCTTCCTGGCTAGAATGTGTCACTCTGCTCCTTTGGTGGTGATCTGTGGCAAGTGTTAGGCTGCTGTCCTGGCTTCCTCTCTTGTGGCTGGGCTAAAACACTGCCCATGAGCAACTTAGGGAGGAAAATGGTTTATTTGGCTTGCATTTCCAGGTTCCAGTCCATCACTGGGGGAAGTTAAGGCAGAGC